GCTGTTTAAAATAACGTTGTGCTAATGTATATGTTTGTTCTTCGCCGACCGCTAAGCTCAACTAATGTTGTGATGCAGCTAAGGTGTGTCTAAGCTGTTATTCGTTGAAAGTTGACCCGTACCATAGGCAGAGTTGTGGCCATCTTCGTGTGTATCTATTGCGGGTGGAACTAATTTTAACAGTTGTTTGTGTGTCCGGCAGTTAAATCCGTCTCCCTGCCCAGCTGGTGTGGTGTAAGATTATGTTTATGCTGTGGTTCTGCTGCTGGTTATATCGTAATATCAGCCTATGTGTCAGCTGGTATTAAATGCATTCGCGGAGTGATATTAGCGTTGCTACAATATATATTTGTGATGCGTGTGTGCGCGCGTGTGCAAATATTTGACAACGGGAGGTGTAACCCTGCCCGCCGCCGTCCTTAAGGTAAAATTTCAGATTTTATATATATTTAGATACAATTTTTTTTAAACAAATATTGGTATATGACTCGAGTCTAAATATCAGTATTTTTCGTTTACTGTAAATACATCCTCAAATAAAAGTGAGAGATAAATGGTTAAACCGTCATCCTCAAGTCAGACCCCACTCGAACCCGTCTGGAGGACGGGTAATAGCTAGTATATATATATCCCCAACGAGATACAGCTGCAGTTGTATGTGTGTATGTGTATGTGTGTGTGCGTGTGCGTGTGCGTGTGCGTGTGCGTGTATGTATGTATGCGTGTGTGTGCGTGTGCATGTGCGTGTGAGTGTATGTGTGTGCGCGCCCGTGTGTGTGTAAATTGGTATGTGTGTGCGTGGGTGCGCGTGTGATTGTGCGTGCGCATGCCCGTGTGTGTGTGAATGCGGTGTGTGCGTGTGTGTATTAATCTGTTTTCTCACGGGTTTTAATGATAATATAGCTATACTAATTGTAGATTAAAGGTAAAACAATAAGCCTTTAATTAGGTGGAGCCTTCACCTAGCATAGCAAGCCACACTAACCGCACGCACGCACGCACACCGGCACGCACACACACACACACACACACACACACACACCAAAGACATTGCGGCTGCGGTGTATAAACAGCCAATCACTGCCGCGCACGGCTGTGAAGCGAAAAATTAAGACAAACCCCAACGAGATACAGCTGCAGTTGTATGTGTGTGTATGTGCACACTATATATATACCATAACCTTTTGAAATTGTGTTAAACGTATGTGTGTGCTCTTAGACAATCGAAACGGCGTCTAAAATTGTCAGAGCATTGGGTAAGCCGGGTAAGCGCGGGCACGGTTACACCTCCCGTTGTGTGCAAATATTTGACGCGCGCACGCACGCACACACCGTATTCAGACACATACGGGCATGCGCACGTACAACCACACGCGCACCCACGCACACACATACCACATTTATACACACACACGGGGGAGCACACACATACACGCACACGCACACGCACACACACACACACACACACACACACACAACTGCCGCGCACAGCTGTGAGGCGAAAATTTAAGACAAACTTCAACGAGAGACTCAGAGGCTGCAGTTGTATGGCTTGGTTGTTTATACACCGAGGCCGCAATGGCTTTGGTGAGTGCGTGTGTGCGCATGCGGATTTGGAGATCTTAAAAGTTGGTGCGGGTTTCCGACAATGGCAATGGGAATGGGCAATGGGAGTGTAGCCATGCGGCCGCCTGAGTGTAGCCGAGGCCAGATTTTTGGTAGCCCGGGGCCGTCTATGTAGCCACGGGGCCAGACATTTGGTAACCATGCGGCCGTCTGGGCGCTACCTGAAACCCTACCCCTAACTCCATCACCGTAACCTGAAACCCTACCCCTTTTTTGAAACTTTCCCGAATTTTTAAAAATACTAAGAAACATAGCAATTGTGCGATATTTGGGTGGATGATAGAGGACGTCTAGGGCTACACGCCGATCTTATTTGCTAATCGATATCTCATTCCGATCAATAGTTATTGACACAACCGTTATGTCAAGTGGCCTCCGGCTACATATCATTCCTACTATTTTTAAAAAGAATTTTTTTTTATTCTAGCTACATTTTGATATATTTTAACCCAAAATTTGAGTCATTGCGATTTTTCCTGACCCTAAATTGTGCAAATATTGTAAATTCCGTCGCATTTAGGATTTATTAGGATTTTTGCTGAAGCCCACCCCCTCTTGCACACGCTATTTGTACTTGTAGGCAAAGCCACCAAAATGTCAACCGCGGCCGTCTGATGTAACCATTTGCCGGCCCCGTGTAGCCACGCGGCCATGGGAGTGTAGCCACGCGGCCGCCTGAGTGTAGCCGAGGCCAGATTTTTGGTAGCCCGGGGCCGTCTATGTAGCCACGGGGCCCTGGTTGACCGTCTACAGGGATGTCGTTATGTCCGCATCACAGCTTGAATCTTTGATGACAGAAACACAGAGAGAACATGGCGGGGACTCTTCAGGCCACGTGTATACTGACCGTGATATATCTCGCAAGAGAGAAGCCCGTCACGGCGTGACGCAAGTCCAAGTGATTCATTTATATATGCGCGCTTCATATATTCAACATACTGGCAGGCTAAAGAATTAGGTTAGATTTAAGTTTTTAACCCCAAACTTGTTCGCGTCCGTGCTTCTCTCGGGCGCTCTCTCTCTCTCTCTCTTTCCCTTTCTGCGTTCCTCTCTCTCCTACTTGCCTTTTTCTCTCTCCTCTCTGCCTTCCTGTCTCCCCTCTGTCTTCTCTCTCTCACACTCCTTTCCTTTTCCCCGCTATTATCCTTCGCCTTTCTGTGTGTGCTCGCACGCGCTCTCTCTCTCTCTCTCTCTTTCGCTCCCTCTCTCTGTGTCTCTCTTTCTCTCTCTCTCATCTCATGTCTATCTATCTCCATCTCTCCATAGTTCGCTCGTTCGCTCTCATTTTCCCGCTCTCTGTCGCTCTCTCTCTCTCTCTCGCCCTGTCTCACCCTTCTCTCCACTCTCCCACCCTCTCTTTCTGCATATATCTTTCTTCCTTTCTCTCTCTCTCTCTCTCTTTCGCTCAATCTATCTATCTATCTATCTATCTATCTATCTGTCAGCCTGTCAGCCTGTCAGCCTGTCCGCCTGTCCGCCTGTCCGCCTGTCCGCACTGTCCGCACTGTTCGCCTGTCCGCGTCTGCCTGCATTTTCGATTTTCAGCTTCAAGATAGGAAATGGGTTAGATACCCATTTCCTATTTTCTATTTTCATTTTAAAAATAGGAAATAGGTCAGAAACCCTAAATAAACTAAAAAAAACGGTATGTGATATAATCACGCGATAGAGGGCGCTGGTTGTTATTGTTTGCGTGGAATGTTTTGTAGCCGCGCACCTTATCATCCGCAAAAATAATCCGCTAAATGTAGTTACTAATACTAATACTATACTAGTGTAATAAGTATTCTTACCGTGAAAGCTACAGTGCACATTACAGTTTGAACGTGATATGTTTGTTGTTTTATTTTGTTTATTGTTGTAACTTGTGTTGTTCGTCATGTCGGAGTACCAACAAACTTTTGTTATTGAGAGGAAGGAAGATGGATCTAGCGTAAACGTGAATCTTTTCGGTACGTTTGAGATCTTTTAGTTTTGATGTCTAGTACAGGCGTCGTCCTAGCAACAACAACAAAATATTATCTTGGTAGAAGTTTCAGGTCATATATCATACTCGCCCGTAGCTCTAGTAGTAGTACTATAGCCCGCGTACAACTGTACGTTCATTCTGTTTCTACAGTCTGTACATACAAAATCAAAAAAGAGCTCTCGTAAAAAAAAAGAAATTTTTTTGGCTGCCACGTACGTAGCTCCAAGAAACGGTATTGCTAGGGTTACAATAGACTACAATTACTATAGACAATCCGTCGCACAGCCTGGTCGGGCTACCACGTACGCAGGTCAACGGTCAAAGGTTTCACACTACGCGCGGAAAACCATGTTTCTGCGCAAACTACAGTATTTGTATTGTTCGCTGACTAACTACTAGTATAGTGTTGGTTAGCTCTAGTACTATAGCCCGCGTAGCTTACAGTTGCCACTGGCGGCTGGCCACCCAGCGGCAACTGTACGCGGGCTATAGTACTAGAGCTAAGTGTTGGTTTAGCAAACTAGTGTAGGGGCAGGGTTCTGCCCAGGATTTTTTAGTGCCGGGCGCATCCAGGATGCAAGCGCCGTAGGCGTGAAGCCAATCTAGGGGGTTAGGGGGCACACCCCCAGAAAATTTTTGATTTTGGATAGTCTGAAACTTAATTTCCTGCATTCTGAGCAATAAAAAGCCCATATATCAGACTTTTTTATTATTAAAAAAAAAATTTGTTTATCAAAAATTAGTGCCGGGCGGAGATATATAGTGCCAGGCGGCAACCGCGAGTGCCGGGCACACCCGCCCACCGCCGCCCACCGTGGGCAGAACCCTGTAGGGGGAATTGTGGTTCGGTGGCGCGCAAATCCTGTTGGTAGGAAAAATGTACACGTGTTTCTGTAAAGTAAGATAAGGTTTTTATAAATAACATGTTGGTGGCGTTACAATGTGTATGGTTGGCGGAAAATATGGTGTGTGTTTGTAGACCGACATGGTAGGACTAAATTGACAGACCGTACACCATATTATAGGCCACAGGCATTTGGAACGTTTCAAATTATTGAAATGATGGTACATAAACACGAACTGTATTTAGTACCAAAGCTTAATGTGTCTTTACTCTTTTTTGCCTATTATAACTTATAACTGATAATTTCCTGTAAATTCTTCTTTGCTCAAGCAACTATTCGTCTTTGTGCACAGCGCATGCGTGCACGGTGTACTTGTGACATAGGAGAATTTGATAGTACGTACAGCAAGTGCAATCATAAGAGCACAACCACATTGAACGAGTCACGTACTTAAACTGACTGACCAAAAGAGCGCACGCTAGGCCTATCCCCCACGTGGCTGATTTGTAAGACGTTCATATGTTGAATTTTATTCGTTCAACCAAGGGTTGTTCGTATCTCGAAAATTCATATGTCGAGCCGTTCGTATCTCGAAAATTTGTATGTCGAGCTGTTCGTATCTCGAAAATTCGTATGTCGAGCCATTCGTATCTCGAAAATTCGTATGTCGAGCCATTCGTATCTCAAAAATTCGTATGTCGAGCCATTCGTATCTCAAAAATTTGTATGTCGAGCCGTTTGTATCTCGAAAATTTGTATGTCGAGCCGTTCGTATCTCAAAAATTTGTATGTCGAGCTGTTCGTATCTCGAAAATTTGTATGTCGAGCTGTTCGTATCTCAAAAATTCGTATGTCGAGCCATTCGTATCTCGAAAATTTGTATGTCGAGCTGTTCGTATCTCGAAAATTTGTATGTCGAGCCGTTTGTATCTCGAAAATTTGTATGTCGAGCCGTTCGTATCTCGGAGGTCCATTGTACTGGCAGCGAGATAAAGTCAGCCCCCTCCACAGTGACCACACTTACGCTGCATACATATGATACATATGTATATAGCACTGACCGGTGTTATATATATATATATACGTGCTGTAGTGTACAGATGGTGGCTGTGTACTTGATCTCGCTGCCAGTGGATACACTGATGTAACACAACACAACTTGCGCAGGGCACCCTACTCTTGTAATGGGTTGTATTATTGCATCTAGGTTACACTGTACCCCAATTCTATATAGGGACATAAGTTCATACTTAGTAGTTCGATGTGTGTTGTTAGTTCACCTTGACATCGTCAAGATGAGCTATTGCCATGGGTCGTCCAGGGTCAGATCTAGGTTTTAACTAAGGGGGGGTTTACCTGAGGTGATTGGCCTACACACCCCAGCGTGGCGAAGGCACGCCTTGGTAGGGGGTCCGGGGCAGCCCCAAGGGGGGTTTAACATTTTTGTTTATAAATTATTATTGCGATATACAGATGGCAACCATACCATCATTTAGGTGTAACGCCATCACTCGCCCACATCTCAGACTTTCACATCTTAAACA